TTCCCACCCTACCCCTCTTCAGGTCTGGCCCAGGTAGGTCCTGCTCCAGCCCTGAAGTGTGGCCCCTGGGGTCTCCCTGCAGACAGCCTGGCCAGCTTCCAGCAGCACACGGCCCTGCACGGCCCCCTGGCTTCTGCCGACCTGGGCCTGGCGCCCACCCCATCCCCAGGACTGGAGAGGAAGGCCTTGGCAGAGACCACCAACGGAGAGGCCAGAGCCGCCTCCCAGAATGGGGGCAGCAGCGAGCCCCCGGCAGCGCCCCGGCCCATCAAGACGGAGGCCACAACGGAGGAGCCCGAGGCGGAACCAGGGCCCACGGCCGCATCGCGGTCACCCTCACCGCCCAGCCCCGCTCCGGCCAGGGTGAAGGCCGAGCTGACCAGCCCCACGCCCGGCTCCAGCCCCGGACCCGGCGAGCTGGGGCTGGCAGCCGGCGCGCTCTTCCTGCCGCAGTTCCCCGCCGCGCCCCCGGCCTCGGAGATCCTGGCCAAAATGTCCGAGCTCGTGCACAGCCGGCTGCAGGCGGGAGCGGGGGCGCAGGCCGGCCTCTTCGCGGGGGCCCCCAAGGGCGCCACGTGCTTCGAGTGCGACATCACCTTCAACAACGTCAACAACTTCTATGTGCACAAGCGCCTCTACTGCTCCGGCCGCCGCCCGCCCGACGACGCGCCCCCCGCGCGCAGGGCCAAGGTGCCCCCGACCCCCGCACGCGCGCCCCCAGGCCCACCGCCCCCAGAGGCCGATGCGAGGCACGCGTCGCCAGGCTCTGGGACGCGCGAGGACGAGGCGGGGGGCGCAGCCACCCCTGAGGCCGAGCCCGAGGCCGAGGGGGGCGGCCGGGGCCGGGAAGGCAGTCCAGGTAGCCCGAGCCCGGGCAGCGGGGCGGACGAGGACGACGACCCCCGCCGGACGCTGTGCGAGGCCTGCAACATCCGCTTCAGCCGCCACGAGACCTACACGGTGCACAAGCGCTACTACTGTGCCTCCCCTCTGCCCAGTCCAGTTCTCCCCTTCCCACCCT